GAGCTTCTGTGCATTTTTTCCAGCTTTCCCCTTCCTCCTGATGACCTTCCCAGTGAGATTTTTTTTTTTCCTAAGAACACTTTTTCTTTGCTGGAGCTTGGAGCCAATCTGAGATGTGTGCTCGCGGAGCCATAAATGAAAAGATAACACCAGAGAGCCACAGCAACAGACCGAGATGCTTTGTAGCTCCACCAGCACAGCTGCTGAGCACCAGCTTTGGCACCAAGTGTTTCTTTGCTTCAAGGAAAAGTGCAGCATCATGTAGCCTAAGCAAGATGTAGACACAGAGAAGAACAACCTGGGGCTCAGAAAACATTTTCCACAACCCTCTCTAAGTGTCCATGCTCCTGAGAGCCAGAAATTAGAGCCAGACATATAATTTTCATGCAATCATTCCATCCCTTTCAGAAGGGACTAGAACTGTCTCTTGAATAGGTTAATCAAAATCTCAGCTGATTACATGATCCGTAGTTTGTTTCCCAGAGAGCTAATTGAGAACATTCAAAATTCAGAAATTACATTGCTTCCAATGGGCACATCCATCTCCGTAATGTGGGCTTCGGCTCCCAGATGAAGCTGCCACCACACTGAATCAGGTTTGCAATGCAAACAACCAAGATTAGGGAGGGAAAAAAAAAAAAAAAAAAAAAAGGAAAAAACACTTAATCATAATCATCATTGTTCCTTGCCCAAGAAGTACTTTCTGTTCAGATTTGAGAGGACTGGAGAAAACCAGCAGCAGCAGAGCACTGCTGCTAACCCCTCCCTGCCCACGATGGACTCTACTGAGTGGACACCAGACCTGATGTAGGATTAGGGAAGGCAAAACATCTCAGGGAGCATGGGAGGGCTCTGTGGCATCCAGACATGGGTAACAAAGTGGTGACAACAGACCCTTTCTGCCAGAGGAAAATAATTCCTGGAGCAGAAGCAATGCAGGCTGCAGGATTATCAACGGTACTGGGGTTGTCCAGGTCTGGGCCAGGGTTGTGTGCTGGAAGGATATGTCAGGAACTTCACGTTCACATGAGGATTGCCCTTGTGGTGATGCCAAGCTCCATTTCTGCCCTGGTTGTCCATCGGCTGAAGCACAAGCACAGCTTTACCTTGTGCACACCAAACTCCCTTGCAAGGTGTTCCCTGCTTAACACTCAGGAACACGTTTTGGGCTCCTTTGCCTTCGTCTCTGTCCCCACCAGACACCATATTTCTCATATGCATCCCAAAACTAGGAGTTTTCAGAGCTCAGGGAGCTGCCCAGCCAGCGCCTGGCACCCCTGCTCCTCCGTGTCTTGCAGGACACAGCTGTGGTGACCTGCTACATGCACACAGCTGTAACCAGAAAGTCACAGGTGCATGAGGCAGCCAGCTCCTGCTCATTAGCACTAACACAGTGCTATCAGCTCCTACACAATTACCCATGAGTGAGATACAGACTTGTCCCTCCTCGTTTGCTTTGCTTCATTCAGCCTGAAATGAGTTGTGGAGCAGCTCACCAGCTGGGCCCGACCATATCTCAGGTGGCTTCGGCTCTCCAGGTTCCTCCTGGTACCTTGTGGTGGGTTTTCTGGAGGTCCTGCAGGTGTGGGGTCAGCTTATGGGGCAGCGGGGGCTGCAGGAGGAAGGTGCCTCCCCATTCCACCAAATCTTGCTGCTCTCTGTGCAATTGCATTTTCCCATCTGTTCCACACCTGGAATTTGCTACATGCTGGAAAACCCAACCGGTTTGGGTTCTGCATCTGTCCCAGCCCTCCAGGAAAAGTGACAGTCTGGGGAAGCTGCTAAGGGCTTGTGAGAAGAGACAGCGCTTCTGTTAATTACACTGCGTGCACGCTCCCATCTTCTCTAGTGCTTGCCACTGGAGAGAAGAGCTCATTTGGGGGAAGTGGGGAATATAGCAATTAAAAGAATAGCTATAAGCCTAGCGAGGAGATAATAAATGACAGTGCAGCAGAATGCTAATGCCATGTTCTGGCTCCTTGTGAATGGACGTGTACAGCTCATCAGAGACGTCCTGCTCCAGCGAGCAGATCTCTCCCCAAAGGATTGCCCTCTGCAGCGATGAAAAATATATGAGATACAAAAGGAATTTTTAAAATCCCCTGCCAGGACGACTAAATGAGTTTGGTCAACAGCCATGTCTGAGCTCCCCCTCCTTCCACGAGGGCTGGCAGGCAGCTCCGAGGGGATGCTGAGGGCATCTTGCTCAGAGCCAGGTCAATGAGAGGCGTGCGATGCAGCACGGACACGCTGTTGTCCTGGAGGCTTGGCCCTACAACCACCCTGCAGCTCAGGGAGCACCAAAAGGCCTAAATAAGTGCAAATCTAACAGGGTTTCTCAGATGAGAACTAATCCAATGTTTTCTAAAGCCCTATTTTGCCACTAAATCATATATATATACACATATGTATATATATTTAAATATGTGTGCACAAGTTTACATATTATACACATAATTTGTGCAATTCAGGTAGCATTGATATCAGCAGTACCGTGTCATTACAGCCCCATTAATCTTCAGGCAGCTCCCCGTAAAGCACTGCCGAGTCCTGGAACAGCAGCCAACACCAGCGAAGGAAAAGCACCAAGCAGCATCTTGCTTTTGTTAGCCACGGAGAGGAAAATGTCACTTGATCACCACTTCTCAGCAGCAGCAGGTTTTTGAATGTAATGTTGCCAAAAGCAATTGAAATACACAACATATTTTGCTGCCAGCTGAAATAACCAGCAAGGATGGGGACAGCAGGAGGGGACGAGCATCCACCAGCTCCCCCGCACAGAAAGGGGACGTCCTGGCTTTGGGGCAGGTGTGGGACTTTTCACCCTCTGCAAACATTGAGCACCAAGAGTGCAATAGCAATCTAGGTAGTCAGGAAGAAAGAAACCTCAATAAAGCCCCTCCACCCCCTTTTTTTTTTTGTGTGTTTCCCATCCCAGTTCAGACTTCTAACCACACCTTGCTGCCAACCATGGCTTTTGCCGGCGGGCTGTGGTTCCCCAAACAGGAGCCCACATTCCTCCACCCCGTGGCACGAAGCCACCAGCTCCCAGCAGCAGAATGGGTGCTCCAGCATCATCGACCAACCTCATCCCTCCACCCAGCCACCCAACTTCTCTCCTTTCCACCACCTTCCCAGCTAAAGCAAGCCAAGAGACCAATACAGACATTAATTTTGTCTATGCATATGTGAGGCGGTTCCCCTGCTCCTAAAAATACTCCGGAAAATCGAATCAACATTTTGCAATTTAGCCGGTAACAGCAATTACTAATAATCAGCAGGAACATAACTTTCTTCATTTTCTACTCTAGCTGTAATGTAATTTCAATAGCAAACTTTGCTTTGCACGCTAAGCAAATTCGATGGGTGATATAAGATAAACATGGATAAAATGGAAAATTAAAAAAACAGCTTTAAAAATAAATTACATTGTCCTGTCAAATAGCTAATAATTTTAATTTAAATTGCCTTTGGGAAAGATAAATTTCATATTGTCCCTATATTTCAGTGCAAAATGGAAAAATATTAAAGAAAACCCATCTGGTATTTCAGGACAATGCTCTAAAGTATTTCAGAAGAGGGGCAGGTGAGCTCCTGGCTCCCAGGGTCCACGGAGAGCCCATCCATACCCCACCTGCAGCTCAATAAATATCCCCACAAAGCACAAGGCAGCACATCCCATCTGCCTTTCAGCAGTTCCCTTTCCATTCCCACGACTCTCCTGTTATTTTTTTATTTTTGATTTTAACCCCAAGGCACCCGGCCCCTCTCACAGCAGCTTCCCACCGAGGGGGAAGCGTGGGAAGGGATGAAGCGTTCCCAGCGGATCTTGGTAACGAAGCCACTTCAGATCCTTTGATTAATTATTGGATGAGTAGTAGGTACCAAGCTGGTATCTGACATTTCTGATCTCAGGATAAACGGTGGCCACTCCACATATTGGAAAGGTGGGATTTTGTGGCTCCAAAGGCTTTATAATTAGCCAGACTATTATTATTTTTTTAAGCATTTGCTGCTCAACTCCTCATTTTAAATTGGATTCTCTTTTCATCTGCTTTTTTGGCTGGATTTTTTTCTCTCTGGAGGAACAGGAGTCACACTGAAATATGACTCAATGCTGCCTTTCATTTCCATTTCCAACAGCCTCAACCAGGCAGGCTTTTGAAAACTCTTTCCCCTTGGAAGGGGAAAAAAACCCGGCGGGGCACATCCTCTGTGCCCCGGTGAGAGCATTCAGGTGCCACATTTAGCTTCACCTTTGTTACACCAGGAAACTGAGGTGTGCCTTGATGCCTCCTCTCCCATCGTTTTCCCCTGCTGCTGTTCCAGCAGGATGCAGACGTTACGGTGCTGCTTCTGGCTCCGGCCCCTTGCTATTGCTGCCTTGCCTGGGCTTTTTACAGACAGAAGTACAGCCACATCGGTCTGCTGGGGACAGAGCAGAGACAAAGCACCCACAGCAAGGGCTTCAGGGCTTAGGCTTGCCTCCAGCAGCCACATTTCCCCTTGGAGAGAAGGGGGCTCCTTTCTAGCAAGCTCTGGAGCAGTGAGTGCTTGCCAGGGGACGTTTGGGGAGGGAGGCAAAGCAAGCATCACGAAGCACAAATCCTCCCCAGGTTGTTGTCTGTGAAATAGCTGGATAGGACAACGCTCACAGATTCACACAGTTACCATTTATAGCACAGCGAAGCTTTTAGGTAGAGTGGAAAAGCTAAAGAGCTATTTAAATGCCCTCACGGGTAAAACTAAGCATCGCTTCAGACATCGTAAAGATCAGGTTGCACGAAAGAAAACAGCCTGAACAAAAAACAGAGAGAGAAAAGGACTCACAGCAGCCACCACAACAAGACTTAAACCCTGCACAAGTGGGTTGTTTTTTTTTTTTTGGCAAAGTTTGGCAAAAGGAGCTGCACGGCCATGTCCTAGGGGTCTCAGCTCCCCAGGCAGTGCTGCACCTGAGCGCCACAGCTCCCTGGCTCTGCCAAACGGGAGGAACTTACTTGGTGTTGTCCGAGTCAATGGTGTGGAAGAGCTTCTCAAGTTCTTCCTCGTTGAGTGTCCCATCCGAAAAAAAGGCCTGGAACTCCTCCAGGGACAGCTTCCCATCATCTGCAAAGAGCAACACGGCTGGTGTTAGGGCAAAGCGGGGGCAGAGCAACCAGAAAACTAGGAGTTGGGTTCCCAAGGTTTGGACCAAAACCCCAAGTGTTGCTGCAGGACCAGCTCTGCAAGTGATGCGGGCTACACCGGTGGGATCTGGTGGCTCGCCAGGCCAAGCAGCATCGCTCCTGGGTGCAGACACACTGACCATTAGCAACTAATTGGGTTAATTAAACCAAAGCAAGCCTGAAGCCTGAAGAGGAACAGCCTGCAAGCTTCATCATAAAAACTAATTACTTTGAAGAAATTAAGGAGCATTTTGTCTACCGTATGCTCAAGTGATGCAGGATGCTCATTAAGGGACGTTGAACACACACAAAATGTCTCAGGGCTGGAGCTAACAACAGACCCCGCAGTGCCCTTTGCCATCTCCATCTTCCCCACCACCATGCGTCTCCCAGTGCTGGACAGAAATGTAAGGAAGCAGCCACGAGGCAACAAGAGACACATTTTGCTTCATCTGCCAAGCGTTTAAATGCACAAGCAGTGTGTTCACCTCAATGTTGTGCCTCTGCTTCGAGAGGGACATGAGGAGGCACAGAGCCCATCTGCCCGGCCATACGGGACACAGCTTGCCGGGTGCCTCTTGGCAAGTCTAGCAGCACGTGGAGGGATCACAAGGCAGAGGTTTAACCACGTTCTCCTTGGCACAAAGAGACGAGCTCACAGCAATTCCACCCAAAACTAATTGCATTTAATTGTTGACTTGGGAGCCTCTGATTGTGTGTTGTGGACAAGCACATAAAGGCTTCAAAGCCACAGCTGGAGGAAGCTCTTACAACGAATTTCAGCCATAAAGCAACAGGCAAGAGGCAAAAGAAACTTGAAAGAAATTGTAATTTACCTGAAGTTTCTTGTTCAAGGCACTGCCATTGTGCTGTGGCGGATGGCAGTGCCTTGGGTGGAAATATCTGCCTCAGCCCATTGCTGCTGCATCGGAGGCTGTGGATGCCGAGGCTCCACAGCCACCCAAGAGAAGTTTGCAGACTGGAAACGCTGCCAACTTTGCAGCAGGAGAACGTATTATTTATTATTTAATCAAATCAATTATAAACCCTGGTTGCCTCTCTTTCAGGAAATGATGCTAGAGGACAAAATTAGCCAACGTACCACATGCACATCAATATTTCTTCCTTGAACTAAATCAGTCTGCTGCTCCTAAAACATATCTGCATTGCCAAATGCTAACCCAGTTTCCCCTGCCTGACAGAGATGAAGTTAGAGCAGTGATGAATGGAGTCTCAGATATCTATTTAATTGGCAATTACAAAAGGAACACAGCAGGAGAACAAAATCGCAGACAACAATGGGTGAAAAGGGTATAATTTTCAGAGCAGTACAGTGGCTATAGAGAGCGCCCAGCTGTCCGTATTGTTTTCCTGTGTTACTTCCTCAGAACAGGAGCCCTTCTCTGCTGAAAGGTTGTGGAATAACAAAGCACCATCCCCTAACACATCCCACGGGATCAGGGCTCACGACTGCAACCAAGTCGTGCCCCATAGCACTGGGTGATCGGCTTCATTCCAACCCTAGGATGCTCATCGTCAAGAAAAGACTCAGAATTGTGAGTGCCAAGAGAAAAATACTTTGTTTAATGATAGCATTTCTGTCGCACTAGGTCTGAACACTCCTGTATCTCTGATGCACTTTTTCTGCAAACCTGAAGTCAGTGCTTGCTCACCGCAAGGTTGTCCTTCCACATGGAGGAATTAATTTCCTAGGGACATCAGTTAAATCAACTTACTTGGAAAGAAAAACTAGAGAAACAAGTGAGTATTTTCAGTAAAGTACTTTAAGCTGAGTTTACAGTTCACTCTCCTGTGAAAGAAACTGCAAAAGGTGTTTAGAGGATTACGGAAAAGGCATTTTCCTTTACCTCGCTTGCACCTTATAGCTTGCCTCTGTCACTTTACTCTTGCTTAACTTCTTTACTTATTCTGTTAGTCTGTGATTCTATGCTTCATCTAACTACAAAAACAGATCTATGAGGAGGAAACACAGAACAGCACAGACCTCCACTAACACCAAACGGCAACATTCTGGTGACACATTATAAGAAACTCGGCACAAATTCACGTGCAGAAGGCTCGCAGGTGCACCTGGTGTAGGAATAGTCCTGTAGCATTTAAGAGCACAGAGTAATAAAGGATGAGTGAAGGATCTAGCTGAAGGAGGAGATGACAATTAATTTTATTTATTTGAGACTTCACAGAACTGGTTGGTTCCTGGCTATAATTTGAATAGCGAGAGGTGCAATTTTTACTGGCAAGCAGTGCTTGAGACCTTCGTTCCCCACTAGATATCACCATAAAGCAGCAGTCAGCTTAAAGCTGATCGCTATTTAATACCAGCCTGACTGACTTGCCTGCAAACACACAAAGTAAAAGCATGGCAGAGTAACGAGATAATCCTGGGGCTTCGTATCTATAATTGTACAACAGCCTGAAAGCGGCACGCTGCTGGAGCCCTGCAGGCAGGGCAGGCTTCAGGGAACTCGAGCGATAAGAGGAAGCAGACCAGGCTGGGATGTGGAAGTTAAAATTAAAATGATAGAAAAATCTTGGGTGGTGAAGAGGAGAGGATTGTCCACAGCATTACGGACACACGAGTTCTGCAGCCCGTGTGCGTCCTGATAAGAGCAGATGGAGATGCTGCGCTCCAGGAACAGCCTTATCAGTAAAGTCACAGAAAAGCAAGATTTTCCTGAAGTGTCCGCACCCATCAAGGGATGGATAAGACTTCCAGAAACCTTCTTTTTGCTGACAGCTGCTGGGTGTGAGAGATACAAACTCTCCCAATGAAGTGCCACTCACCTTATCAAGGGGCATCGTTGATCCCAGCTCAGCCTCACCCACAGCCCACCCACCCTCCAAGGAGCTCCCTTGGAGACATTTCAGTCTTATGTCCCTGCTCCTGCTTTGGATACGAAGGATAATAGGAAAAAAAAACCTGAGATTCTGTACCAAATCTCATTAAATAAAGCTTCCAGCTGTTTTAAGATCTTAGAGAAGCCACCAAAACTTTTTCTTCTGGAGCAGTGTGTTAAAGGCAGGCAACTTATGCTCACCTACTCACCACCCTTTTAAACTACATGGCTTCAAAGGGTTAAACCCAGTACTTTAAGTAAACACCTAAGCTGGCAGCCAAGACAAATGTCACCAAGTGCAACTGCCTGCACAGTCGCCGATGGGCTGAAAAAAGAGATAATCAGGCTGCTGCTATCCCGCAGTCATTCCTTCCTGAGAGCATCATCTTCATCTCAGTCCAGCTTTTCAAAATAATTCAATCACAGGCAAAAAACAAAGAGAATTTCCTGCCAAACAGAGCTGTCAAAGTTAAAGCGAACCAAGGAGGGGAGGATGTGATGGAGAACATCGGTCAGCCTCGACTGGGATTTTATTATCACTCCATTTGCCACCGTAACAATCCGATGAGTCTGGAGGAGGCTTTGATGCCTCCTAACTCCTGCAATCAGGCTCTTCCCACCTGCTAATGCAAGAGGGAACATCAAGACAGGGCCCTAAATCACCCAAAGTATAGGAAATCTGATAAATCTGAAGGCTGAGTATTTGGAAATGTACTCAGAGATACAAACAGCTTAAAGCATCTACAAAATAAAGTCATTGTCCTGAGTCTGTTTGCTAAGCCCAATTTGAATTACCTCGGGTTGGGGCTGCTCATATATTACCTGGGTACATTAGGGGGATATTTTGTTACTTACTGTCATTACTGTCTGAGCTCTGAAATACTTCTAGCCCTGCCTAGTGTCCAAGCACCGACAGAGCTATGGGTAAGCAAATCGGATTATTGTGGCCTGTGAATAAAAATAACAACTGGATTTTTATTTGTCTCTGGGGTATGTGCAGATACAGGGGCCAGGGAGAACATGGTCTGGCTTCAGTCACAGACCCTTGGTCCGTGTGAGGTCAGCAGGAGCGGCTTTTCTCATGTAGATGAAGCTGGACCTGAGCTTACAGACTGGGCTGTTATGAAAAAGGACCTCCAAACCTGCCACAGATGCAAAAGACATAGATAGGACACTAAATGTGGGACCCCAAATGATGCCTTTCCACAGAGTTTTTGCACTGGGAAACCTGCCTCAAGAGCCAGACGTCCTTCAAGTTCAGGCAGTTGGGCCTGATTTGAGCTCTCCCCAGTGGTGACATCCCAGCAAGCCCACAGGCCACATCCCCAGCATCACCCAACTGGAATGTCATTTTGGAATGACTCCAAAATCTCCTTATTTTCATGGAAGTTAAGTAACACCCAGCCCAGATGTCTTAGCAAGGGTTGGTGTGGTGCCAAGCGACCCACCCCGATGACCTGCAGACAAACAGCGCTTCCATCACGGCCGAGTTTGTCTGAAGCTCTCATTGCATTTCCTAACACCAGTTGTGGCTGCTGACGGACTGACAGGTTAATGCCATACAAAATCCCTCAAATTTGGGATTTCTATCTTCCTACATCGCCTCTTCCCACCCCACACTCACACCAGGCCATACAGAGATGTAAGTTGCACATAGCACATTAAAGTACATCCCCTAAATAGTCAGCCCATACCCTCCCAGATCATTTATCCCAACAGCAAAGATTAACTCTTCTTCAGTAATTCAAGGTATTTCTCTCTGTATCAAAACAGAGTTCATTAAAAAAAAAAAAATCAAAGCCCACGTTCAAAAAAAAATTTAAAAAAAAAAATATATATAAAATCATAACCTACATTCAATCAGTTTTACTTTTTCTTTCTGCCCAGCAGCCAATGATGCAGTTTTGTGCTGAGACTGGAAGAGGTGCATATACAAATTTTGTGCAAGACTTAACCCTTTCATTTTCCATTAAAAATGGGGAAAAGTGACCACCACTTCAAAATGATTGCAGCAATCACCAGAAAAGATTGAGCCACAACTTAAAGCCCAATCCTTATTCAGGATGACAAGTAATGCTGCACA